TGTTGTAAGCACAAGTATGGCAGAGAAATTGGGACTATCTGTGTTGAAACACCCTAAACCGTATAAGTTGCAATGGTTAAATGAGAGTGGTGAGCAACCAGGTGTTAGTTTGCATTTTGAATAGTAAGTATGAAGATGAGGTGTTGTGTGATGTAGTACCGATGCAAGCAGGACACTTATTGCTAGGGCATCCACGGTAGTTTGATAGGCATCTGAAGCATGATGGTTTTACGAAAAAATACTCCTTTGTGCTTAATCAACGACCAATCACTCTTGTACCATTGACACCGTAGCAAATGAGTATGAAGTGAGATTGCAAAAAGAGAGTGATCAAAAGAAGGAGAGTGAATAGAAGAAACAGAGTGAAAATCAGAGAGAGACCGAGAAAAATGAGAGAGAAAAAGAAATTCAAAATTCAGCCATTGAGAGAAAATCAGAGAGAAAACAAAATAATTTATATGCAAAAGTGAGTAAAATTAAGAGAGCAATGGTTTCAAATCAGTCGATGATTGTACTTTTGTACAAAGAGGCATTTTTAAACATTAAACAAACTTATTGGGATTTTCCGTAGCGTTCACCAGCGACTTATCAAATGGGTTTCCACCACCGTTTGTGGCATCTTCCTCATACCGAGGTTCTTGTTTCACAACAAACAGCGGGTTGAGGCCATATATACCAAGGTTCTTGTTTGTCGTAAACAACGGGTCAAGGTCTATCATTCAATTCTGATCGTAGAATGATTTTGGGTTCCTTTTCGTTGTTGGATCTCTTTATGTTTGGTGGGTTTCACATCATTTGGTATCATTGAGCAACAAAGATTCATCAATATGATTCAAGTTCTAGAAGAATTGGGCCAAGACTAAGCTTAAATTGGCATGTTCAAGAATACTTTTTATTTTGGGCCTGATTGTAAGGCTTGATGCGATTTACTTTCCTTTTTCTATTTTAGGCAAGCAAGATTTTTATTCTTTAGTTATTCCTATTTGGGTTTGGATTTTCAAAATATAAACTCCTATTAGGATTTGTTTCCTTAGTAGATTAGGCTTTGTCCTTGTAATGGTAAGCCGCATAAATAGGCGTTTAATCAATGAAAGGGGAAAATCATTATTAAGTAGAATTTGAGAGTGTTTTCTCTATGGTTCTTTGAAGAACTAAACAAACTTATCGGGATTTTTGTGGTGACCACCATTTCTAGCGTCTTCCTCATTTCGGGGTTCTTGTTTCATAACAAACAGCAGGTTGAGGTCATATATACCAAGGTTCTTGTTTGTCATAAACAACAGGTAGAGGTTTGTCATTCAAATCTGATTGTAGAACGATATTGGGTTCCTTTTCATTGTTGGATCTCGTTATGTTTGGCGAGTTTCACATCAATGTGTATTGAAAAATGAACAATGGGATGTCTTGTCCTTCTATCATTATGAGGCGTGTGTTGCGCACTGCTCTTCCAAGAAAACTTCAGCTAAGATTTTACTAAGTGGTTTTTATTGGTCTACATTGATTAAAGATTGTGTTTCATTTCTCCAAACAATGTGATAGGTGTCAAAGGTTGGGAAGTGTGACCCATAGAAACATGATGCTCCTTTTCCCCGTGCTAGTCATTGAAGTCATTGATTGTTGGGGCATCAATTTTATGGGTCCATTCCCTATGTCTTTTGGCTACCTTTATATCCTATTGGCAGTGGACTACGTGTCCAAATAGGTAGAGACAATCCTGAACAAGACCAATAACCATCGAGTCGTGGTCAAGTTTTTAAAATAAAACATTTTTTTCTAGGTTTGGGATTTCTCGTGCAATGGTAAGTGATGGTGGTTCACATTTTTGCAATAAACCATTTGCTTTTTTTTTATATGCATAAATATAGTAGAACACATAAGGTGTCCACCGCCGGTTGACCAATAGGGAGATAAAGAGCATACTAGAGAAAACGGTTAACCCAAATCGAAAGGATTGGTCACTCAGATTGACCATTATCTCGTGGGCTTACCGCACTACCTATAAGACTATTCTTGGTATGTCTCCCTATCGGCTAGTCTACAGCAAGGCTTGTCACTTGCTAGTAAGATGGAGCACAAGGCATATCGGGCCATAAAAACCTTGAATTTCAATTTGAGAATAGCTGGGAACATATGAAGTTGGAGTTAAATGAATGGAGGAAATTCGTAGAAAGCATATGCGAGCTCTAGAATTCACAAAGCAAGGGCAAAAATTTTCCATGAAAAATCCATTTTGAGAAAGACATTTGAGCCTTGTGAAAAAGTGTTATTGTATAACTATTGCCTCTCTATTTTTTAAGGGAAACTTTGATTTTGATGGGATGACCCCTACATTGTCAAGGTGGCCCACCCAAACGGAGCTGTGGACATAGAAAATCCGAAGATGGTAAAACATTCAAGGTCAATAGTCAATGACTTAAACCATTCTTCAAAGGTTTTGAAATTCAGGTAGTGGAGGAGGAGTTTGTGGATTCGGTATATTCCGATGTTGTTGAGGCATAACTTTTTAAGTAGACATTAGTGTACAATTGTTTTCATTTGTCCTTTACTTTACAAGTTAAATTATTTACTTACTTTCATCTGTACGTAGTGTTCTTTCTTCATATGTTCAGATAGTGGTGTTTTTGTTAAAGCTCATTGCGAAGTGTTCTCTTACCATTCTTGCCTTTTAAATTTCATTATCTCATTGTATGTCTTTTGTTGCATTGAGGACAATGCGTAGTTCAAGTTGGGGGTGAGGTGCACTATTTGTTTGATACACCAACTTTTGTATAAGATAGTTGGAAATATATGGAAAATTTTGAAAAATGCCTAAAGGCTTTGACCATTCTTCGTGGGTTTTGAAATTCCAACTGTGGAAGAGGAGTTGGTCGATTGGGTCAATTCGGACCCTATTGAGGCATAATTGTTCAAGCAGATATTAGTGTATAGTTTTTTTCCTTTATTCTTTACTTTGAAAGTTAAATTGTTTATTTACTTTCATCTGTGCATAGTGTTTTTTCTTCATATGTGCAAATAGTGGTTTTTTTGTCAAAGCTCATTGCGAGGCGTTCTCTTACCCTTCTTATCTTTTTAATTCTAACATTGCATTCCATATCTTTTTGTTGCATTGAGGACAATGTGTAGTTCAAGTTGGGGGGTGAGGTGTTACATTTTTATGATACAATAATTTTTTGTTGACAATACCATTTTGTGGTGAAATGCACCATTCACATATTCTACCAATTTTTGTATAGAATAGAAATAGGTGAAAAATTTTAATTTTTTTGTGGAAAATATCTGAATGTTTAACCATATTCCCCTATTCAAATTGTTATGGGTCTAGTGATAGTTTGATCTTCATTTTGAACTTTGAACACATGAGTACATCATAGAAATTTATCCTATGCCTGAGTATTACATATGTGTTTTCTTTCAAACTCAACCATAGGGCACCTTGAATGTGTAATTTCAAAAATTTACTGATCGGATCCACATTTTAGAGCTTGGCATATATAGTGGAGATGAAGTAAGTACCCATGTGAGTTTTAGTGTCAATCCTTGTTATAATTCAAGCTTACTCATTATGCTTGCTTTAGATAGAGTGCATGTGGATAATTGATTGACTTTGTCTTGAAATGCCAATATGCCTCCCCATGCTTATCTAGAGAGGATCTTAGGCCATCTTCGAATTGCATTGAGCCTTAGCCTTATTGTTGGAAAAAACATTATCCCTTGTGCCGTGATTGAGCCTTTATTGAAAATTCATTTTCATGTCACATGTTTTACCAAGCTAGTGCAAAATGCTTACAAGTACCGCACCATAGTTTTTTTGAGACTGCCAATGATTAATCATGAAGAAAAGGAAATGTGGTGAGGCAACCCAACAATGGATGAATGGCATAGAATTCAATTTTTGAATGAAAAAGAAGAGAAAAATCCAAGAAAAAGGAGAAAAGGGAAATTGCCCTAACATTCCATTCCTGAGATTATGCTAAGGTCGTTTCAATTACTATGCATGCACGTCATTTTTGGATTATATGTGAGTATATTTCGGGTTGTGCACAAGATTCTATCTCACATATACACATGAAGAGCATGCCAAGATAATCAGAGAGTGATTCAATTTTTTTAAGGGAAATTGTTGGTGAGTTTTGCATCAAAGCTAAATTTGGATAACCTGGTGAATGTTGATTCCGTTGAGTAAATGCTTGAATTACATGTTCATTTCACACACACACGAGTTTGAAAAGAAATGTGTAAGTGTATACTCTAGAATAACATTTAGACCTATGATGAAACTCAAGTGTGATTGGTTTGGGAGTTTGAAAAGTTCTGTCAGGCAACCCTAACCTAGTAAGATACGGGAATATTGCTCAAATTTTAGATATCAGAAAGGAAAAGGAATGTCTTTTGTACTTTAGTTTTTACTTTATAAATTGGGTGATCATTTTATTGATTTTTGAATTCCATGTTATATGTTTTCAAAGCATCAAAATTCAAATCACATTGCAATTTCATAATTGAATTTGGGCATGGATCATATTTTTGTGAAGTTGAGTTAGGAAATAGGTCATTAGAATGTTTTGGAGTCAAATAAACTTGGAGTGGGGGGTTGAGGATGAGAGCATAGGGGATTTTTGAAAAAAAAAGTTGAAACTTACTAGTAGAAAATTGCAAAACATAACGTTAGGAATTTTCTAGAAGGGTTTTCTACCTATAGAATGCTGAAAACCTACCGGCAAAAAAAATGAGGATTTTTGACCCAAATATTTGGGACAATCATTCATATCACTCATCTATCTCAACCTTAAAAAACCATTCTTCTCACTCATAGCCCCCCAAATACTCAAAGAGACCTTGGGCATCCTTCAAATCCACCGATTATCTTCCTCAAGTTTTTGATTCACAGTAATTATTCCTCATTTCCTTGACCTCTACCCCCAAAAAACCTTTCTTTCCTCCACAAAGCATCACCAATCCATAAAAACCTGATTTTCACTCAAAGCTCAGAAGTTGAAGGAATGGCTAGACTGGGTAAGCCGTCACATGCATCCATTGACATTTTTGACTTGGTGTGGGGTTGGTTGTTGCCATTTGTCGCCCTAGGGGCATTTTTTATAATGATGGCTCATACCCAGCAAATGGCCCCCAGTTCTCCCCCACCCGTAGGAACTAGATCCTACAAGACAACTGAGGAGGTAGGCTCTAGTGGTGGGTAACAAAGGAAGAAACTAAAGAATGACCCTCGCATAAAGAGCATAAAGGGCAAGAATGTGAGGTGCGAGCAACATGTAGATAGGTCCACCCTTGGGCGAAATGGTGACATGGTCCAAGTGATAGAGAGGGCATCAATGTTTGGTTTCTACTAGTGGGGGGATTTATGCTTCCCATCTATAGGGAATTTTATCAGAAGTTAGGGGTGGTGGATGAGGACTTGTGTTTGTTGAAGACAAATGTGAGAGGGAAGGTGATGGAGGTCACCCCGTGCTTGAATTTCTTTCACCCAAATCTTCGAACACTAACCCAAATCAAGTGTATATGGCTTGTGTGTGTAGGTGAGTGTCACTCTCCCTTGGGTTTAATGCTAGAAATGGGGTAAACGTGTGTATGGATGAAAGTGAGTGTGCAAAAGTTCGTACCAAGCGAAGAGAGACTTCTGAGTGTCATGTTTTACTAGGAATGGATATTCCAAGGTCGTCTCCCATGGGAAGGAAGGTTGCAATGTGGTGAAGGTGATTTTATGAAAATTGAAAATTGTAAAATCATGTGAGTTTGTGTTTTGATGAGTGGAGATTTTGATTAAAATGTAATGGAAACAAGGTTAGATAATCCGAAAAGGTCATTCCAATGGGAATGTCAAATCAACTCAAAACATTCTTTCAATAGTGACTCGGTGCTTAATCGATTCGTAGGAAGTGAGGGACTAATATGGAGGTGTAGGCTCAAGCTTACCCCTGGACAAGTCTATGGTGTATCAAGAGCTCACAACTACGTCCGCACTCAACCTAGTCAAATCAAATACCTCACACTACAAGGAGGAATTAAAAAGAGTTGATTTATCATACCCAAGAGGAAAATCTCCCTTGAATTAGCCAACTTAAAACTTAGCTACTCATATTTAATTTAAAGACATACACAATGGAAAGAGACATGGTAATGAAATTAAGATTAAAACTTGTATTAATGTAAAGAAAAGTTAAACTATAGAGATAAATGCATTAAATACCCATATGTAACGCTTAGATGCAAAAGCTCATTTGTAAACATAGTAGATTCAAGAATGCTTGACAAAATTCCTTGTAGTTTTCTAACCTCTAAACATCACCTTTTAGCATGTATAGTTTATGGATGAAGGGGAGTGTCACTCTCCTATGGGTGATGTCAAAAGAAAGGACAAGGAGATGGGGGAAAATGAAATCATGGTAATGTGATGTGTAAATGCACAAAAATGTGTGTGTGTGTGTCAAAAGTGCTCCCCAAGCGCAAGGTGTCTTTTGAGTGTCATGTTTTACTTGGAGAAGTATTCCAAGGTCGTCTCCTTAGGAAAGGAAAGTTCAAGTGTGTGAACGTGATTTTGTTAAAAGGGAAAATTGTAAAATATTTTGTTTGTGTTTTGGTGATTGGAGTTTGTGAATGCCAAAGAGGTCATTCCAATGGGAATCCTACCTCAACTCGAAACTTTCCTTCAATAGTGCATAGATGAATGATTGATTCGTGGGAAGCTAGAGACGAGATGGTGAGAATCCAAGCATAAACCGTGACTAGGCCTACGCGATATCAAAGACCCACAAACTTATTGGGGCACTCACTAGTGATGTGTCCATACTCAACGCAAATCTCATACACGTTTTTAAAATAAGGGGCATTTATTGGGCACTCACTAGTGATGTGCCTATACTCATCACAAATCTCACACACATTTTCAAAATTTTGGTCATTTGATACATTTTCATAAAAATTAGGAAACATAATACAAAACACAAACTACAACAAAAAATATATACAAGTTAGATGACATACTTTGGCCCATGATGAAAATTATGAGACTTACCTATGCCGTCTGAAAATCATCTTTGAACTCGACGCTTAACCTTCCCAGGCAACGGCGCCAAAAATGCTTGAAAAAATTCATTGTAGTTTCCTAATCTCTAAACATCACCTTTTAGCATGTATAGTTTATGGATGAAGGGGAGTGTCACTCTCCTATGGGTGATGTCAAAAGAAAGGGCAAGGAGATGGGGGAAAATGAAATGATGGTAATGTGATGTGTAAATGCACAAAGATGTGTGTGTGTGTGTATGAAAGTGCTCCCCAAGCGCAAGGAGTCTTTTGAGTGTCGTGTTTTAGTTGAAAAAGTATTTCAAGGTCGTCTCCTCAAGGAAGGAAAGTTCAAGTTCAAGTGTGTGAAGGTGATTTTGTGAAAAGGGAAAAGTGTAAAATCTTTTGTTTGTGTTTTGGTGATTGGAGTTTGTGAATGAAAATACAATAAAATAAGTGTTGGCTAATCCAAAGAAGTCATTCCAATGGGAATCCCAAATCAACTCGAAACTTTCTTCCAATGGTGTATAGATGAATGATTGATTCGTGGGAAGCTAGGGACGAGATGATGTGAATCCAAGCATAAACCGTGACTAGGCCTATGGGATATCAAAGACTCACAACCCTATCCACTCTCAACCCAGTCAAACCGAACCATTGTACACCAAGAGGAGGAAAGAAAATGAGTTGAAATGGAATACCCAAGAGGAGTTCTCCCTTAGATTAGCCAACTTAGAGCTCTTGCTATTCATGTTTAAAGTAAACAAAATTTATAATGTAAAGAGACAAGTAAATGAAATGGAAATGAAAATGAGATGAAAATGAAACTTAGAACTTGTATTAATGCTAGGAAATGGTAAACTTCAAAGAGAAGTTCATTTAATACTAAAATGGAAAAGTTGCAAAGAAGAGCATTGAAACCAAGCTGTAAATATTAACGTACAAGAACATGGAATGAAACTTGAAATAAAAGAGAGTACAATACAAAAAATAAAGATTACAAGAGAACTACAACTTACAGCAATGAAATGGATGAAGAAAAATGCAAAAACATAAATTTCTCAATTACACTATTCATCATCTTCTTCCTTGGGATTTTCTAAGCTTAGGTAGCCACCCCCAATGTCTTGTGGAATGCTGAATATATGGAGTGTGAGCCTTGCATTTTCGTCCATGGAGGGTCCCTCTAACTGTGTGAAAGGCCTCTCATCAATTGGGGCTGAATGGATGGGCAATGCAGGCTAGCACAGGCTTAGCCTGCACTCCCAGGTTTCACTCATTCTTTCTCTCCTCAGTGAATGCCAAGTCTCCAAAGTCTTCAATAAGGGTGTAGGAGGAATGTAAATATGTAAGAGAAGTCAGGGGGCAAGAGGGAGAATCAATGGTGGGATCCCCAAGCAAGTGGAGCATGAAAAACAAGTTTTCTGGGCTATTTCATCAGAGTTTACCAGTATGTGTACCGGTACGCTGAGGCTGCTGGAGTTCGAGGTACCGGTACGTGTACTGGTACACTTTTGCTTGGGATAAGTTTTTGTAGAATCATCATAAGTTTTGATCCAACCGTCCGATTGTGCTGAATTTGTGGTACAATATAGAAGACATCCAGATCTACAATATTCATGTTTTAAACTGTTTCAGATTCGAAGTGGATCATGGTCAAAAAGAAGGAAGACCGAGATACTTCTACAAAATGGTGTGGCTTCTAATGCCAATGTTACCAAACACCAATACCTCCTTGATTTCTTTTACTTTTAAGCCTCTAAGTCCTCATGTAATGTGTCCATCTCTTCACCACTCCTCCACACTTAGTTGCAAGGTTCTAAAATCCATCATTTAAGCTATAATTACATGCAACATCGAAAATTCAACATTATTCATAATTTCGGCTAAATCTAAGTACTTTGATGCAAAAGTTGAGTTAAAATTTATGTAATGAGGCCGTCAAATATGCAATATTATGTGCTCATCACACCCCCTAACTTAAGCTTTGTTAGTCCCTAGCAAAAAAAATGTGAAAACTAAGCAAACAATATAAACATAAACTAATTCTGCAACTGCATTTAGCATATGCAACAAGCCTTTAAATCCCTTGGTGATCCCTAGTGGACGAGTTTTGTTTCATGAATGTTTTCAGTGAAGGTACCTACAAACTTCTTTTCCTAGTATCTAATTTTTAAAACATATTCTCTTATCTTAACTAGCACTGGGATGTTAACAATAACTTTGCTCAACACACCCGAACTAATCACAAATGAAACACATCATAGCTTTAAATGCTATTCTAGAGTATACCCCTACACATTTCCTTTCAAAACTCGTGTGTGTGTGAAATGAATATGCAATTTAAGCATTTACTCAATGGAATCCACATTCACTTAGCTATCCAAATTCAACTTTGATGCAAAAACTCACCAAGGGTTTCTCTCAACAATTAATTACACTATGATTATCCTGGCATGCTCTCCATGTGTATATGTGAGATAGAATATTATGCACAAACCGATGTATGTTCACATATAATCCAAAAATGAAGTACGCATAACACTGAAACAACCTTGGCATAATCTCATGAAAGGAATGCTAGGGCATTAGATAGCAAAACCAACTTCTCTTTTTTCTTTAAAAGTATGCATCCCCCATGCTTCTCTAGATCATTTAGAACTTTCATAGGTTGTAATGAGGCCTTGGGGTGATATCTAGGTAAATGAACAAAGGATAAAGGATAACAAAGAGGGTTGTTTCGAGTGCATGACGTTTATTTCAAAAAGATCTCCCTTTCTATGGGATTTTCAGTCAACACCATCACTTCACTCTTTATTTATTTTTCTCTTTTTTCCTTAATATTTTCCTTTTTGTTTTGTCCCTCTTTTCTTCTTTTCACCCCTTTTTCTCCTTTTCTTGAAATTGATTTTTTCGTTCAGCTCTTTGAATTCAACTTCATTCATCCCTTTCGTTGAGTTTTCGCCATATTTCCTTCTCTTTTATGCTCATTCATTCTCAGCTTTAGGAACAACCAATGTAAGGTAAATTTATATCATTTTGCATTGGCTTTGTCAAATTTGTGGCATAGAAACAAATTTTAAATAAGGCTCAAACATGGCACTAGGGATATAATTTCACAAGAAAAAATCTAAGGCTCAAAACATTTCAAAGATGGCCT